AATGAGTTTAATGAGATCACGGATCAACTAGACTCCGTCAATATTCAATTTGATGATGAAATACAAGCCCTGTTAATACTTGGTCAGCTACCTGATAGTTGGAAGGGCGTCGTTACTTTGATTAGCGGTTCATGTGGAAAAGAAAAACTAAAGTTTTCAGAAGTAGTAGACATGATTATGACTAAGGAGATAAGAAGACAAGAAGGAGTAGTTTCTAATTCAGGGTCGGTATTGAATTTTGAAAGCAGAGGTAGAAATAGAAACAGAAATAGAGGGAATACCTGTGGAAGACCTAATTCAAGGAACGGCGGGTCAAGATCCAGAAATCGAAGATTGACTGCTGGAACTATGGCAAGTTTGGGCACTATGAGAACTGAAGCGAACATCGTCTCAGGAGAATCAGATGATGCCCTTATTTGCTTGTTGGAGAGCAAGACAGTATCATGGGTGCTGGATTCAGGAGCTTCGTTTCATGCTACCTCAAATAGAGATTTATTTAAAAACTATGTTTCAGGAAACTTAGGAAAAGTCTATCTTGGCGATGATCAACCATGTGATATAGTTGGAAAAGGAGTGGTGTAAATTGAACTCAATGGGTCTATATGGAAGCCGAATGATGTGAGACATGTTCCTAGCTTGAGGAAGAATCTGATCTCCTTAGGACAGTTGGCAAAAGAGGGATATATATCAACCTTCACATGTGATACGTGGAAGGTTACCAAGGGTCTATGATTGTTGCCCGTGGTACGAAGAGTGGATCTCTCTACATTATGACAGATGCATGTGGATCAATTACAGTGGTTGAAAGCAAAGAAGATCCAAATTTGTGGCACCAGAGGCTTGGGCACATGAGCATTAAAGGCCTGAAGGTTATGTGATCAAATGAAAAGTTACCAGGTTTGAGGTCGGTTGATTTTGACTTATGTAAAAGTTGCATCTTCGGGAAACAAAAGAGAATAAGCTTTAAAAGAGTCGGCAGAACACCGAAGGAAGAGAAGCTTGAGCTAGTTCACACAAATGTGTGGGGCCCAGCATCAGTACAATCCACTGGTGGAAGGTTATACTTTGTGACTTTCATAGATGGTCACTCGAGGAAGAATTGGGTCTATTTCATGAAACATAAATCAGAAGTGTTTGAAGTCTTCAAGAAATGGAAGGCTATAGTAGAAAATGAAACATGGCTGAAGGTTAAGAAATTACGATCAGATAATGGAGGTGAATATGAAGATTCAGAGTTCAAGAAGTTTTGCTATGATAGTAGCATCAGATTGGAGAGAACAGTGCCATGTACACCTCAACAGAACGACATAGCAAAACGAATGAACAAAATATTAACTGAAAGAGCTAGAAGCATGCGACTTCAAGCAGGACTTCCAAAGCAATTCTAGGCAGAAGTAGTTAACACAGCTGCCTACCTGATCAACTGGGGACCATCAGTACCTTTGAAGCATAAAATACATGAAGTAAGTATGGAGTGGAAAGAATATAAACCTTTCTCACCTAAAAGTTTTTGGCTGTGTTTCATATGTTCATTTGAGTGATCATGTTGGAAATAAACTTGACTCTAAGTCCTTGAAATGCTATTTTATTAGCTATGGTGGTGATGAGTTTGGCTATAAGTTCTGGGATGAACATAACAAGAAAGTCATTAGAAGCAGGGACGTTGTATTCAATAAAGCAGTTCTATACAAAGATTGTGATGCTCTTAAGTCCACAAGCTTAGTACAGTCAGAGCCTACATACTTTGAGCCAGATGATGTTCCAGAAGGCAGCAACTTTGAAGCTAGTTCTGATGAGGACGCAGGAGAAGAGGCTGAAGAAGAGATGATGGAGGAAACTACTTCAGATGAGGTAGATGCAGAGTTTGGTTCACCTGTCAGAGAGTTAAGGCAGACAACCAGAGTACCCAAGCCAAATCCGAGGTACTCATCATTACAGCCTAGAGCTCATTTAAATTATTTATTGTTGAGTGATGGTGGAGAGCCAGAAAACTACCATGAAGCGTGTGGATGATGCAAGCAAGTGGGAGCTTGGTATGAAAGATGAGATAAAGTCCTTGAACTCTAACAAGACTTGGGAACTTGCGAAGTTACTAGTGGGGAAGAAGGCTTTGAGTAATAAATGGGTGTACAGAATCAAGGAGGAACATGATGGTTCCAAGAGATACAAGACAAGGTTGGTGGTCAAAGGATTTCAGCAGAAAGAAAGAGTTGACTACATAGAAATCTTTTATCCTGTAGTCAAACTGACTGCCATCAGATCGGTTCTTAGTACTGTTGCAACTGAAGATCTACATCTCGAGCAATTAGATGTGAAAAAAGCTTTCCTCCACGGTGAGCTAGAGGAAGAAATATACATACAGCAGCCAGAAGGGTTCACACAGAAAGGCAAAGAAAGGATGGTCTGAGATTAAAAAAGAGCTTATATGGTCTGAAACAAGCTCTAAGACAATGGTACAAAAAGTTTGATGGATTCATGCATAGGAACGGATACTCTAGGTGCAATACAGATCATTACTGTTTGTTTAAGAAGCTCGACATCAACTACATTCTTGCTACTATATGTCAACGACATGCTAGTGGCCGGACTGGGTGAGATCAAGAAGCTGAAGAAGCAGTTGTCGAGTGAGTTTAACATGAAGGACTTAGGTGCAGTGAAGCAGATATTGGGGATAAAGATTAGCAGAGACAAGCACTTGGGCACATTACGGTTATCTCAGGCCGGTTTCATTAGATGGGTGCTTGAGAGGTTTGGAATGAGTGGTGCTAAGGCCGTTAGCACACCTTTAGCTAGTCATTTCAGGTTGACTAAGGAACAATGTCCAGTGACTGATGAGGAGAAAAATTACATGATGAAGGTTCCATATTCGTCAGCCATTGGAAGCTTTATGTACGCCATGGTGTGCACGAGACCTGACATTGCCTATACAGTGGGAGCTATGAGCAGATTCATGTCAGATCCAAGAGAGCAGCACTGGGAAGTCGTAAAGTGGACTCTAAGGTACATGCGAGGTACAATAGAAAATTGTTTATGCTTCAAGAGTGGCAATTTGGTTATGCAGGATTTTGTTGATGTAGACTATGCTGGTGAGATAGATCAGAGGAGGAGCACTGCAGAATATGTGTTCACTTTGGGTACTACAACCATCAGTTGGGTTTCTCAGTTGCAAAAGATCATTGCTTTGTCGACTACAGAGGCAGAATATATATGTTACTGTGACAGAGGCTAGCAAAGAGCTGATATGGTTGTAGGGATTCTTGGAGGAGTTGGGACAGAAAAGTGAGAAGAGTGTTTTACACCGTGATAGCCAGAGCGCCATTCATTTAGCAAAGAACCCAACTTTTCATGCCAGGACCAAACACATACAGGTCTGTTATCACTTCATAAGGTCAGCATTGGATGATGACATGCTGGAACTTGTGAAGATTCAAGGAAGCAAGAACCCGGCTGATATACTTACAAAGATTGTCACTACGGAGAAACTAAAGTTGTGTTCAACTTCAGTTGGCCTCATTACTTGATGATATGGGAGGCCGTCACCGCAAGGAGAGATAATAGAGATTGAAAGTTAGTTTTCAAGTGGGAGATTGTTATGTTATATGGAGCCTAACTGTCAGGCTTGCCCTATACTTCTATTTGAAGAGGAAACAGGAAGAATTGAAGAAACAAGAATGACGACATTATAGTTCAGGCAAAACGATGAAGGAAACAGTTTGGGAGTTTCACGGTCGACCGCGAGTGGCGCAACGGTCTACCGTGAACGTGCACAAAACCACGGAAAGTCTCTGGACTTTTGACGGTCGATCGCGACAAGCCCTGTAATCAGGATTTGGTCTCTGGATTTTTTGCGGTCGACTGCGACTACCTCTGTAGTCAACAGCGAGTCGGGTTTTTGGGCCTGGGCTATTTTTTCTAAATTGTTTTCAGAAACATGTTTGTATTAGCTCTTATGTTATTAAAGGGGAGATTAGGGCAACTTGTAAGATTGACGAAAATAGTAAAATTTTCTCCTGCGGTGGTCATGGACGTAGCTTTTCACATCGAGAAGTGAACCACGTAAATCTTGTGTGTTTTGTGTGATTGTTTTCTCTCTCTTCTCTCTCATCTCTATTTCCAAATCGCATCAGGGGTTAGATAAAACCCTAACAAGAAACATAACCAAATATATGGCATTGAGAATAGTCCAAAGGGGAACAATACAGTTTGAGTATGGAGTAGCATTATTGAGCACTACGGAAGGAGTAAAATTGATTAGAAGAATAATTGAGAGTGCTTGAGTCCAGAGAGATCAAGGAACAAGGGAATAAGTGGAAGACAATGTGTTGCATCAAGAACATGATAATGTTTTCCACGATACTTTCAAAACACACCATTGGAAAAAGACAAATGTCTTGGATCTGGGCTTCCAGCATGTAAATTTTGTGTATTCGTCTTGGGTTTGGGCTTTCAGTATTTAAATTTTGTGTTGAAATCTAACGTTGGTTAACGATGGCTGAGAGGTATGTCTTGAATTAAAAAAAGAGATTTAAGAGAATAGTCACCCTAAATCTTGATCTACCTAGAGGGGAAAAATTGTAAGAATCATACTTGTTTGAGGCACATATCAGCAATTTCAATGATCTGGGGACTAATCATTGAATCTAAGGGACCAATTTGAAAGGCCCATCTGCAAAAGTTAAAACTGTTTTTCTTTCCCGCAAGTCTACTTTCATTTATAACTAAAGGAAAACCTTAAAGTGAACAGTAGAGATTCTGATTATCCACATATTTATCTCCAATTAAACATTCCCTTTGTTCTCTCTCTACGTTTCCCCATTCGTATTTGGGAAAAACCACCCCAACCCACGTTCTCTCTCCTTCTCTATCTCTCTCACCCTTCTCTCTTCTTACCTCTTCCCCTCTTTCTTCTCTCCTTTGAATCCTCAACAAAAACCCTAAAAATGCGATCTCTAGCCTCTCTGCTTCCTTTGTCTCCTCACGGTCCATGGCCGCCACCGCCTCCGATGTCTTTCAGAAAGTTCAGATCACCAGGGATGACACCGTGAGCTGCTCTTCCTTTCCCACTTTATTTTTTCTCGATCTCTAATTTGATCTTCAAAGCACTAACTTCTCTGAGAAATCCTTCTCTTCCTATTTTTTGACTTTTTCATATAATAAACTGATTACTTAGTTTCAAAGGGTTTCGATCTTTAGCGTTAGGGTTTTGAAGCAGGGGACTCTTGGAATATACAATAAAAGTTAGGGTTTCGATCTTTAGTGTTAGGGTTTCGGTCCTTTAATTTCTTTCTCTCTTTGATATTTCGTGGTGATTGTCATTTTTCTATCTGGGTGTTCACGGTGATCAGTTTTCATATTGAAAATCTTCGAGGTTGGCGATTTGATTTTTTTTGTAGATTTTGTATTCGCTTTCATCTGTCCCCTTTTGTTGTTGTCGAAAAATTTTCATAGAAATATTTATTTCCTAGGCTGTTGATTTGGAATCTAGATCTAGAGTTGTGATAACTGATTTTGCAACCAACTGAATTTTGATTTTATTTTTTCTAAATAATATTTAATGAAAATTTTCCCTTTGTTATTATTATATGATTTTAGAAGTAACTTATCTTCTTTAGGGGGAAAAAAGCTAATTTCTGTTTATAATTTGCTTATTTAGATAAAGGAGCAATGAAGGAAGAATCAAATCAAAGTACATTTTGGATGACATGTTTCTACTTGAGATATTGGAGCAGTTTATACATCTCTTTCCCCTAATAAGTTTTAGAGATCACTGTTCAGATCAATGGCATCAAATACTGACCAAATAGAAGAGCCATCTTCTCACAGTCCTGCCCACTACATCTCGGGTCAGTGAATGAAGGAAGAATCCAATGCCCTTATCATGGTAAGACTACAAAATTTGATACATGCTTATTATATTTGCTTCAATATGATCGGCAGTGCCATGTTCTTCACAGTTGGACATATAAATGAAGTATGAGGAAGGAAGATTGTATAGGAATTTAATTTTAGTAATTGGGGTTGTATATAGTTTCTTTTCATGCTTAATTATTAAAAAGTTAGTGCTAGGGAATATACATGTATGTGGTGCTATTCCAGTATTATGTTGAAACTATTCAGTAACTTACAAAAAATGGGACCAATATTTCTGTTGGCTCCATTTTAAGGTTAATATTTTGTTAGTTTTCAAAAGAACATCACAGCCCAGAATCATATATTGACATCAATTTTGTCAGGGTCATATTCTGCAGCAATACTTTCTTCTATAGGAAAAAGCCATAATCAAGTTCTTCATTACTTGACATCACCTTTTTTTTTCAGGATGGGAGTATTCAACTGATGGAAAATGTGAGAAAATGCCATCTACCCGCAAGCTTAATGTGCAAATAAAATCTTTACCATGTTTCAAAAACGAAGGAATGGTCTGGATTTGGCCAGGTGATGAACCTCCAATGGCTATTCTTCCTTCTTTGCAACCTCCTCCGGGATTTCAAATTCATGCAGAGGTATGATGTTGTACACTAATCATTAAATATTTCAATCAAACATGTGGAATATGTTGAAGGGAATTAGTACATTCTTACCTTTGTTTTCATGTGAGCAGATTGTGATGGAGCTACCAGTAGAGCACGGGCTTCTCCTTGACAATATTCTAGACCTTGCACATGCTCCTTTTACTCATACTTCCACCTTTGCAAAGGGATGGAGTGTTCCAAGGTATGGATTTATTTTGAAGATGTCTACAATTCATTCAATCATGAGGTTGAAAATAGAATGAGAAGAGAAAATAGAGACTAAGAGCATATGAACATGTATTCACTGGTTTCTCATGCAAATAAATGGTTCATGTTTTGATTAGTTCATGTTTTGATTAGTTGTTCATCACTATTATTGTGAGGTTGACTCGTAGTAGGATTCTAAGTTGTAAGTATCAGAAAGAGTACTAAGGGTTTGTTTTCCTTGATAACGTTAGATACTTGATTAGTTCATGTTTTGATTAGTTGTTCATCTTCATGATAATCTAATGTAACTCATTTATTTTCTTCGCATCATAGATAGTGAAATAAGCCCGCATTTCTAGAATGATATCCTTGCAATATTTTCATAAGTGAAATTATTTGTTGAATGTTGTCCATCTACAGATGTTTTAAGTACAATGATACTGTTCATTTGCTGCATTTTTAGCATGTTTGACCTTTCTTTAACTTATACCCTTGCTATTGATTTTCTGAATGACATTGGAGCAATGAATTAGTTCCAATTTTACATTCTCCGGTATATCTGGTTCAATATCATTTCCTATTCACGGTTAATTAGTTGAATATGAGTAGCATTTATTGATTTATACCAATTGTTCATTATCATAGACATACAACCATTAACAGAATGGTAATATTTCTTTGGTTCAGGTACTGAAAGGAAGAGACTGAAAGGAGGCAGAGAAAAGAAAACTAATGGAGAACAAAAGAGATCCTACTTTTGCTGTTCCAAAACAATATATTTTGGACTAAGTTTAGTAATTATCAATAATGATTACAATAATGACTATATATTTATGCTTTGTTTTATAAGTTCAATTTCAGATCTTAGTTTTCTAGAACATAAAGCTTTCATGTAAGATTTAATACTACTGCATATCATATATAGTTATATATAGTCCATGTAAGACTTATTAGTACTGTTTGTGTGTGTATGTTTTTGAAATAAATATTGAATTGAACTGATGCATGCGATATAAACCTTAAAAAACTTTCTGAATTAATTTATTTAAAATGTAAGTCTATACATACTAAGCTGGGTAGCATATGAAGAGATTAGGAATACTTGGTATTATACAAAACAAGTAAACTGTAATTTCATTCTGAGGAAAAGCTTGAACAACTAAACAAGGAAAATTGTTCAAATGCTTAATAACGATTTGACAAATTTTGCTTAATAGGTGATCGTCTGGCTTACTATCAGGGAAATTGTGTACCATTAGTAAATTTAAGGTGTACACCAAAAGGATCGGATAACCGTGCTTTGCACGAGGTGCACACTATGTATTCTAATGATTCAACTCCAATATTCTTAATGTAGCAAATAAAAAAAGGAGAACCAATAGAAGTGGAAAAGAGTACTAACTTCTGGAGGACTTGGCAACCACTTCTGAAGAGTTATCAACCATAGTTTATGTGTGAATATTTGTGTTGCTTATGTCTAATCATATTATGTAGTTGTAATTATGCAGGGGTTTAAGATGTATCTTGAAACTTTATTTCGATACTTTTGTAATTATGTAATTGCAATAGATTTGATCTTTTTTATATGTATATGTAAAACATTTGTTGTTTTATTCAAAAACTTATACATGTTTACAGGAGCAGAAATAACATCATATATCATAGTTGTAATGTTAAATGCCAACATCAAACAGCGCAGGTACAACCACTTCTGAAGAGTTATCAACCATAGTTTATGTGTGAATATTTGTGTTGCTTATGTCTAATCATATTATGTAGTTGTAATTATGCAAAGGTTTAAGATGTATCTTGAAACTTTATTTCGATACTTTTGTAATTATGTAATTGCAATAGATTTGATCTTTTTTATATGTATATGTAAAACATTTGTTGTTTTATTCAAAAACTTATACATGTTTACAGGAGCAGAAATAACATCATATATCATAGTTGTAATGTTAAATGCCAACATCAAACAGCGCAGGTACAACCACTTCTGAAGAGTTATCAACCATAGTTTATGTGTGAATATTTGTGTTGCTTATGTCTAATCATATTATGTAGTTGTAATTATGCAAAGGTTTAAGATGTATCTTGAAACTTTATTTCGATACTTTTGTAATTATGTAATTGCAATAGATTTGATCTTTTTTATATGTATATGTAAAACATTTGTTGTTTTATTCAAAAACTTATACATGTTTACAGGAGCAGAAATAACATCATATATCATAGTTGTAATGTTAAATGCCAACATCAAACAGCGCAGGTACAACCACTTCTGAAGAGTTATCAACCATAGTTTATGTGTGAATATTTGTGTTGCTTATGTCTAATCATATTATGTAGTTGTAATTATGCAAAGGTTTAAGATGTATCTTGAAACTTTATTTCGATACTTTTGTAATTATGTAATTGCAATAGATTTGATCTTTTTTATATGTATATGTAAAACATTTGTTGTTTTATTCAAAAACTTATACATGTTTACAGGAGCAGAAATAACATCATATATCATAGTTGTAATGTTAAATGCCAACATCAAACAGCGCAGGTACAACCACTTCTGAAGAGTTATCAACCATAGTTTATGTGTGAATATTTGTGTTGCTTATGTCTAATCATATTATGTAGTTGTAATTATGCAAAGGTTTAAGATGTATCTTGAAACTTTATTTCGATACTTTTGTAATTATGTAATTGCAATAGATTTGATCTTTTTTATATGTATATGTAAAACATTTGTTGTTTTATTCAAAAACTTATACATGTTTACAGGAGCAGAAATAACATCATATATCATAGTTGTAATGTTAAATGCCAACATCAAACAGCGCAGGTACAACCACTTCTGAAGAGTTATCAACCATAGTTTATGTGTGAATATTTGTGTTGCTTATGTCTAATCATATTATGTAGTTGTAATTATGCAAAGGTTTAAGATGTATCTTGAAACTTTATTTCGATACTTTTGTAATTATGTAATTGCAATAGATTTGATCTTTTTTATATGTATATGTAAAACATTTGTTGTTTTATTCAAAAACTTATACATGTTTACAGGAGCAGAAATAACATCATATATCATAGTTGTAATGTTAAATGCCAACATCAAACAGCGCAGGTACAACCACTTCTGAAGAGTTATCAACCATAGTTTATGTGTGAATATTTGTGTTGCTTATGTCTAATCATATTATGTAGTTGTAATTATGCAAAGGTTTAAGATGTATCTTGAAACTTTATTTCGATACTTTTGTAATTATGTAATTGCAATAGATTTGATCTTTTTTATATGTATATGTAAAACATTTGTTGTTTTATTCAAAAACTTATACATGTTTACAGGAGCAGAAATAACATCATATATCATAGTTGTAATGTTAAATGCCAACATCAAACAGCGCAGGTACAACCACTTCTGAAGAGTTATCAACCATAGTTTATGTGTGAATATTTGTGTTGCTTATGTCTAATCATATTATGTAGTTGTAATTATGCAAAGGTTTAAGATGTATCTTGAAACTTTATTTCGATACTTTTGTAATTATGTAATTGCAATAGATTTGATCTTTTTTATATGTATATGTAAAACATTTGTTGTTTTATTCAAAAACTTATACATGTTTACAGGAGCAGAAATAACATCATATATCATAGTTGTAATGTTAAATGCCAACATCAAACAGCGCAGGTACAACCACTTCTGAAGAGTTATCAACCATAGTTTATGTGTGAATATTTGTGTTGCTTATGTCTAATCATATTATGTAGTTGTAATTATGCAAAGGTTTAAGATGTATCTTGAAACTTTATTTCGATACTTTTGTAATTATGTAATTGCAATAGATTTGATCTTTTTTATATGTATATGTAAAACATTTGTTGTTTTATTCAAAAACTTATACATGTTTACAGGAGCAGAAATAACATCATATATCATAGTTGTAATGTTAAATGCCAACATCAAACAGCGCAGGTACAACCACTTCTGAAGAGTTATCAACCATAGTTTATGTGTGAATATTTGTGTTGCTTATGTCTAATCATATTATGTAGTTGTAATTATGCAAAGGTTTAAGATGTAACGCAAGTCGGAGAGATCACAGGAAAAACGCTCAGGCACTGCAGAAAACACCCACATACACAATCTTCAAGCGGAGAAAAAAGCAAGCAAAATCTTAAGGCGGACAGAGGATTGATGAAGACAGTAAAAAGGATCTGATTCTCACCTCGATGAACGCACATTCTCTTGAACTACTCTTCAGTGCGGCAGCCAGGCATTCGATGAAGAGTGTAAAATGATTATTCTTCAACCAGCATTAGATCCCACACCAACTCCGTTTATTCAAATAGTTCCATAGATTCAGATCAAACTCACATGTACCAATGAACACTCCGCAAAACTCCAAACTACAGTTCCAGTTCATATATCATATTCATTTTCAATCATAGTCATTAATACCACCCACAACCAACAGCCAGTATCAGAGCCTTGAGCATCGGCATCCTCGAACCCCAAGAACATACTACTTTAAAATACAATAAATCCACAAAACTTAGAACCGCATGAAAATTAGTCATTACTCAAAATAACATCACTCATCCACCACCACGAACTTTGCTTAGCTATGTTTCATCGCATTTTTCTCCTTTATAGCAGTATAGATACATATGAAACTCCACTGCAATAAGCACACCATGATAATTTATGCATACACTTTGATGTTGGCATTTACTATCACATATGATCATATGATGGATAATCATGGGGCACATATGATAAACATGTATAACCAGAAGTATATTTAAACAACAAAGGTTTTACATCTATCAACACACACAGATCAAACTATTACCAATTACATACATTCACAAAACAGTCACTCCAGCAAATAAAGTTCAAGATACCATCTAAAACCCCTGCATACATTCAACCAAACTACCATCAATATGATTAGAACATACAGCCAACCCAAATATTCACCACCCAAACTATGGTTGCATAACTCTTCAGAAGTGGCTTGCCCACAGTCCTCCAGAAGTTATCACTCCCTTTCCCAACCCTTCTAGTTGGGTCTCCTTTTTTTATTTGCTACATTTAAGAATCATTCTCTCGGCAGTTGAATCATCT